GTTTCAGACCTGGAAAGCCAATTCTCACCCTATCTGGCCCTCCCCATGTGTGTGTGTAATATCATGGCTTGGGAACAAAATACCCACTTCTTGCCCTGTGTGGCCCTCACCACGCGACTGCGTAGTCATGATCTTGGTGGGGTCGCGCGCCCCCCAGCTTTGGGAACAGAGAGGCCACTTCCTGCCTTTTGTGCCCCCCCCCCGCCCCCCTCCCGCCCCCAGGTGTGCGAGCAATAATGTTCATGGCGGGGGCAAACGGCCCACTTCCTGCCCTATCCGGCCCTCCCCGCGCGTGTGAGTGATCATGGCGGGCTGCTTCACTGGAGGCAGTACCTTATTGGCTCCATGGTGTTCTCCGGGACATGCACGGAAATGCTTAAGGCCATCGGCTTCTCGGCCTCAATTCTTCTGCCGGATGCAGTTTTTTTCGGGGCCGACACAAATTGAAATGACGATTTTGTCAAGTCATCCTTGACTTTTCTTTCCCCCCTTCTCTTTCTGGAATGCGTGTCCGGTCATGTTCGCCAACACATAGCCCCACAACGGACGCATGATTCTGCCGGACTTCCCATAAACTCTTCACTCCCACACCGAGGTGTGATCTGAGTCGCTAGGCACAGAAGCTGCTTGGCCTTTTCTCTGTTTGTTTCGTCCCTTTTTTTTTTCTTTTTTTTTTAATGTATTTATTATTTTCCCCCAGCCGGTCCCCTTATCCCTTCGTGTGTGGAAGGGACGGAGATGGGACGGACTTTTGAGGTGTCGAATTTTGTAGGGGCAGCAGATACCGCGCACTACCACTTGGGCGTAGGAACGGCCCCGAGRAAAGGGGGTCTCCCAGGATCGAAGGTCCAGAGGCGTCTTATTGAGAGCGGAAAGGGATGAGGTCACGAGGGGGACATCGCCATTGGGGTGTGTTCCGTCAGCTTGCTGGAAAGGGACATGTGCAGGTCCCTCGGCGGATGGCTCASTGAGCACCCTCCGGATGTGCCAAACAGTCGGTGGTTGGCGATTCGGAGTCCCGTTTGCACTCTTATAGGGGCCTGCGTGCTTAGCAGGCCCCTAACAGTCGACGAAGGCGACGTTCCGGGCGTGGGTGTTGGGACCTTGTACTCGAGTTACGAGGGACTCTCTGCACACGCTTTCGGTGGTTTTCAGTTTGCGAGGGACGGGCGAGTCGTTCTTTGGTGGTCGAGCGAACATTTTTGCGGCGCCGTGCGGGCCCATGGTCGTCTCTCTCGGAGGGCTTATTTCACGACAGCTGGGTCGTCGTTGGCGGCGGTCGCGGCTGTCGGGGCTTTCTTATGCCGTGATACCGGGTTGTGGATCGTTGCGTTCACCCTCGCTCATCGTCTTGCGATGATTGGCGCYTGATCGCCGACGGCGGTCCGGTTGGCGGTCGTTTGCAGGGTGTGGAGGCGGAGGTTCCCATCACCGACTCTGAGCTTCGGCACCATCATCCCGTAGGTTATGGGGAGAGCGCTTCCGACTTTGTTGTGGTGTCGTCTTCGTGTCCGCACTCACAACGGCGCGTTCCGTTTGTGTTGAGSGGGTGTCACGACTTGGTGAGGACGCTCTGCGCTCTTCGCGATCCGAGCGGCGCCATTGAGTGGTGGCGCAGGTGGCCTCGACCGTGCACCCGCTGCTTACCGTATGCGAGGGCGGAGACTTGTGGGATGCGTGATGCACTCTCCGACGGCGTCGCGAGGTTGGGCCCGTCATCCGCCCGACTTGTTGGAATGCGCACTTGTGCTCGTCTTGTCCCCCGTCTTGTGGTCTCAGTATGCTGCACACGGTGACTGATCGCACTGCGTTTTGGTTCCACTGCATTTAGGTTGTGGGCTTTGAAGGCTACTGTTCTCTGTCTCCTGGGTTTCGCCTGCGTCGAGTGCTGTTGGTGGTGCCCGCGGCAAC